AAAGGCTCCAACGACGATCTAAGAACGACACGACTTCAACACCGCGATTCCAGTAACGAAGACTCAACACGACACCAACGATGATCCAAGGACTATTTGAGTAACAACGCTCCAATAACGACAACACTAGCAATGCAACTCATTATCTATAAGCCTGAAAAAAAAAAAAAATAGGGTTAGTAAAACGTCTACTCGAACTAAAAAAAAAAAAAAAATAAACAATGATCGGCATGGAAATCATTGCTTATATATTGCACATGACCCATGACAAAAAGGTCATGTAACGGGGGCAATATAAACATTTATTCATATAAATAAATCTCACTGTGTGCTAGAGCAAACATAAAACCTCCAGCAAAAGTGTGTCCATTGATTGCAGCAACAATTGGAATTGGAAAGGTCAAAACTCTGACCAATAATTTTAAATAATAATTATCAAAAAACCCGTGAGTGCTTAATGCGTGCTCTAAGTCTAAACCATTACTATAAAACTTTCCTTCACCAATCGTAATAAGAGCAGAATGTTTAGAATTTTCAAGTTTAATAATGTTTTCAATTTCATCCAAAATAGCATTTATTTCATTAATAAAATTAGTGGTGAAACGATTTTTACCATTTTTCATTGATAAAATAAATAAAGGACCTTCTTGAGTAAGGGTTACTTGTTGGCTAGGCATTACGAAAGTTACGAAAGTTGTGAAAGTTATGTATGAAAATCAATTTTATGCATAAAAAATTTTTGATCCAGATTTGGATGTTGGGTAATACAAGTTCTCCAAACCGGTTTGATGATCACATTTAAATTTGGAAGTTGAGTTATTATGTCAGCTTTATTTTTTAAAAAGTTATATAACTTTTCAAAATAAATTTTATTATTTTAAGTAGATATATCGTAATATACTTTATAAAGGGTTAGGGTTAAAGCTTTAATAAAATTTTTTTTTAATTTAAAATTGAATAAATGTTTATGTTGCCCCCCGTTACATGACCTTTTTGTTACAGGTCATGTGTAATATATAAGCAATGATTTCTATGCCGATCATTGTTTATTTATTTTTTTTTTGTTTTAGTTCGTGTAGACGTTTTACTAACCCTATTTTTTTTTTTTTCAGGCTTATAGATAATGAGTTGCATTGCTAGTGTCGTCATTATTGGAGCATTGTTATTCAAATAGTCCTTGAATCATCGTTGGTGTCATGTTGAGTCTTTGTTACTGGAATCACAGTGTTGAAGTCGTGTTGTTCTTAGATCGTCGTTGGAGCCTTTCGGAGTTGCCATTATTGGAGCCGTTGTTACTGGAGTCGGAATGGAGTCATGTTACTGGAGTGCTGTTAGTGGAATGGAGTCACGTTACTGGAGTACTGTTAGTGAAATGGAGTCGCGTTACTAGAGTCGTTGTTAGTAAAATTAAGTCGCGTTTACTGTTTTTGGCTATAGTATTGCTTTACAAGAGTTGTTACTAGTGGTTTCTCTTGTCTATAGTGTGATTAACTGATTTTTTTTTTTAGGTAGCTAGTCGTCGTTTATGGAACCGTCGGTTCTGGTATTTCGCTTGTTGATCTTTGTTGATCTGATTCGTCGATTTGTGGTATTGGTATCTACAGCATCTTCTTAGGTATCATTGCTGAAGTTTCGGTGTTTGGCCTTGTTAGTCTTCGTTGGTGTGTATTCGTTACTTC